AAGGTGCAGGCGCCAGTAGTGCAACAAGTTAGCCCTCTGCCTACACACTGGCATCCCATATGGACACTGGTTGGAGTCCTGGCTGCCCACTAGACCCATCTCCACGCTGCTGGCCTGGGAAGGTGGTGGAGAATGGCCCAAATGCTTGGCCCCTGCACCCACGTGGGAGACCTGGACGAAACCCCTGGCTTCTGGCTTAGGAGCAGCTCAGCTGGAGCAGCTGCAGCCATTTGTGGGGTTTAACCAGTAGATGGAAGATCTCCCTGTCTAGACTCTCTCAAGTAACATAAATGTAACTTTGTAAGAAGAGGGTTCAGGGGTGGGTGCTGTGGCGCTATGGGTCAGGCTCCTGCCTGGAACATGTGCATCCCATAGGAACGCAGGTTCAAGTCCCGGCTCCTCAACTTTCATTCTGGCTTCCTGCCGGTGCAAACTGGGGGATGATGGAGGATGCTAGTGTCAAACAGGCCCCTTCCCCCTCGTGGGAGATTTGGGGGGCATTTTGGGCGCTGGGCTCGGGCTTGGGTCAGCTCTGGCATTTGGGAGTGGTACTGTAGATAGAAGCTGTTTTCCTCCCTCTGTCAGTCCACCTTCCAAGTAGATGCAAAGAAATAATTAAGGAAGATGCGAGGGCCCGGCACGGTAGCCTAGCGGCTGAAGTCCTCGTGTTGCACACACTGGGATCCCATATAGGCACTGGTTCATGTCCCAGCTGACCTGCTTTCCATCCAGCTCCCTGCCTGTGGCCTGCGAAAGCAGTTGAGGACGGCCCAAAGCCTTGGGACCCTGCACCCGCATGGCAGACCCAGAAGAAGCGCCTGGCTCCTGGCTTCAGATTGGCTCAGCTCTGGCCATTGTGGCCAGTTGGGGAGTGAATCATCGGATGGAACTCCTCCTCTCGTTAAAGCTAACTTTCCAATAAAAAAAAAATAAATCTTAAAAAGGTGTAAAAATGCAAAGAGGGAGCAAGTGAAAGGTGAGCGGGCTGTGCCAGTCAGCCCGGACGTTCCATGAAGACGGCAGCCCTGGAGCCCAGGGCACAGCCTGGGGAGGTCAGCAATGACAATGGAGGGTAAGCCAGTCAGCAGGACATTACTGAGAGGCAGCGAGGGAGAGATCTTCCACCGTCCAGTTCACTCCACAAATGCCAGCAAAGGTTGCAGTTGGACCAGGCTGAAGCCAGGAGCTTCTTCTGGATTTTGCACGTGGGCAACAGGGGCCAAGTACTTGAGCCATCCTCTGCTGCTTTCCCAGGCCACTCGCAGACAGCTGGTCAGAAGTGGAGCAGCCGGGACACGAGCTGGCGGCCTCATGGGATGCTGGTGTTGCCGGCTGAGCCTTTACCTGCAGTGTCTGCTCCCCGAGTGACTGACGCATGCACACCCACAAGGAGTCCTGTCTCAGGGCTGCGGCCAGAGCTGCCGGCCCAGGCCCCAGGTCACGCGGGTGATGCGCACGTACAGCCTCCCGCCTCAGCGCCCACGGCAGGCGCCCTTGCAGTCCTTTCTTGTCCACCTACATGGCCCTCGCCTGGACAGACTGTCCCAACATGTCCTCAGAAACGTCTTTTGAAAGGCAGAGTGATACAGCAGGAGAAACCAGGACCAAGAGAACGAGAGTGAGAGAGCTTCCATCCTGGGGTTCACTTCTGAAATGGTGTGACAGCTGGGGCCAGGGGCTCCACCTGAGTCCCCGACGTGAGTGCAGGGACCCCAGCACTTGGGCCACAATCCGCAGGTCCCCAGATGCATCAGCAGGGGAGCTAGGTCAGAAACACAACGTGCGGGCCTGGACCCAGCACTCCCCCTGACACCCCGGCCGTGTCCATGGAGTCCTCAGCGGGCTGCTCCTCACAGACCTTGTCTCTGCCCCTGTGTGTAAACCAGGCCTCACCCTCGTGGAAAACCCACCCCACCCGCAGCGCCTCCTGCCGGCCAAGCCCGTGCATGCTCACTGCCACCAGAACCTGGGGAAACCTCCCAAGGGTGCTACTGGCCACTGCCTCCTGGGCACAGCACGCCTGCTAGGCTGCCCTCCATAAGCCAGACCTCCACCTTGTCAATGGACTGATTTCCACAAAGAGTAAGATAAAACACGTCAACACAGTCCAAACTGGCAAACCAAGACACACAACCCGGTTTTTTGAAACGCTAGACGGGGGCAAGGACGCACAAGAGACCCGCCAGGGCAGCTGCTGTTGCAACTTGGTGACCAAGAGCAACACGAGCTCTCTGTCCACGAGGACCACGTGACTTCAGAACACAGGATGCTGGACCTTAAGGAAAGACCCCTAGGGTGTGGAAAGACAAACACGGGGGTGGGCGCTGGGCCTCACGGCCACATTCCGCACAGATGCCTGGCACCTGGGCCTGGCTGCTCCCCAAGCCCAGCTTCCTGTTACCATCACCCACGCTGGCAGGCCGCAGGTGATGGCTCATCACTTGGGCCCAGGCACACGCGAGACCCCGATGGAATTCCCAGCTCCTGTCTTGGGCCTGGCGTGGTCCTTGCTCGCTGATTCATGTCTTTTCAAAGTCAAGGGAAATGGAGACTACGGGGAAGACACAGACGTAGAAACAGCAGACGTCAGAGGCTCGTCCGGCGAGGTACTGGACAAAGCCGCCTAGAGCTGATCATGAAACAAATCCCCGGCAGGAAAGTGGCGAGAGGCCACACCACGTGGGAAACGTGGGACGAGAGGAAACCTGCGTGGTCAGCTGTGGGGCCCACTCAGCCCCACGGACAGAAATCCTTGGCAGGTGAGGCACCGGTCACCCTCCCAGGGCTCACCCCTGGCCCGGCAGGCCAAGCACGTCCACATCAAGTTCTCCCTGGGCAGCAGGCCCTGGGCTTCTGTGAGCCGCACGGATGCGCGTGTGGCAAGGACGCCACGGTTCCTACTGCACGAGGTCACAGGCCACTTCACTGGCTCCAGCCCGGAAACACTTCCACGAACGTGGCAACATGGAAAACTCACGAACAACGAGAAGTCCCTCGTTGACCCAGTGCCCAGTGGCCCCCGCCGGCATGCAGAGGCGACCAAGACTCCCAGCTCACCCCCCTCTGCAGTGAGGGTGTGTTTCACGTGATCTGGAGCTTCCTCTTTCTTCACCGCGGGAGCAAACACACAGCACCCGGAGACTCACCTGCGATCGGCTCATTTTCTGAGGCTTTTGGGTCAGCATGGAGCCGGCTGACAGCGGACCTAGGGGAAGAGAGGAGGCGGGCGCTGAGCTCGGGGGCCTGGCGGCCTGTGCAGGCAGACATGCCCAGCACACGGAGGCCCGCCGTGGACGCTCGGCTGGGGCTGGCAGGGTGACTGTGGGCCCCCACACCTGCCCCTGCGGGCCCCCACACCATTCGGTGATGGCGAGCAGCATGAGCCTCTCTGGTCAGGACTGACCGGGACACCTGTCACAAGCAGATGTCCTCGGGCAGTACAAGAAGCAAATGGGAGGGGTCTGGGTCTGTGGCACGACAGCGTTGGGCCGCCACCTCTGTGCCCACATCTCACGTGCTCACTGGCTGGAGTCCTGCTGCCCCACTGCCAACACAGCTCCCTGTGCCTGGGAAAGCTGCGGGTAATGGCCCAAGGAACTGAACTCCTGACCTCCATGTAGGAGACCCGCAGGGAGCTCCTGGCTCCTGGCTCCAGCCTTGCCTAGCACCCAGCTGTTCCTGGGGACAGATGGGGTGGGACTGGCAGTGTGGCACAGAAGGTGGTGCCGCTGCAGCCTGCAACATGGGTGTCCCAGGTCCGAGCTGCATGGAGTCCCAGATGTTATGGATCGGAACCAGCTCCCAGCTCATGCGCCAGGGAAGACGGCCCGAGTCCCAGGGTCCTTGCCATCCACAGGGGAGACTGCAACGGAGCTCCTGGCTCGGGCTTGGACCAGCCCCAGCCGTGGCAGCCGCGTGGGAAGTGAAGCAGCACATGGAAGCTTCTCTCTGCCTCTTGTCACTCTGCTTTTCAGGGAAATGGGGGTCGGGGAGGGGGAAGAGAACCAAGGGGGCCATGGTGGGCAGGACGCTGGCGAGGTAAGACTCCGGAGTGGCACCATGAGCCAAGCCACACACACACTCAGTGCCCTCTGCCAAGTCACCCCAATTCTCAGCGCCCCTCACCTTCGTCCAGCAGGAGGCAGCCCTGCCACTCTGCCCCGTGACAAGCTGACACAGGTCACTGCCAAGGGTGCCTGTCGCCTTCTTCCTACCCTGCTTTCCCACTAAGACATTAAAGCTGCCACGTGTTTCCCCTGATTCTAAGGCGGAACGCCATCAGGACAGACGCGAGGGGCAGCCAGACACGGAGGGACGTTTAGGGACACCGAGGACCCGCTGGTGAAGGGAGGAGTGGGAACGACCTTGCAGGGGCACTGCTCCAGAAGCGACGCCACCCTCCCGTCCACTCCCAGCCAGTGCCCACCACCTACCCAGCACGGGCTCCGGGCAGTGTCCACCACCTGCCCCGCAGGGGGCTCTGGGCCCGTACCCACCAACTACCCCTCAGGCTGCTCCGGACCCGTGCCCAGTACCCTACCCCGCAGGGGCTCCGGGCAGTGTCCACAAACTACCCCGCGGGGCTTCCGGGCAGTGCCCAGCACCTGCCCCGTAGGGGGCTCTGGGCCCGTGCCCACCAACTATCCCTTCAGGCTGCTCCGGACCCGTGCCCACCACCTACCCAGCAGGGGCTTCGGGCAGTGTCCACAAACTACCCAGCATGGGCTCCGGGCAGTGCCCACCACCTACAAGCATGGGGCTCCGGGCAGTGCCCACCACCTGCCCCGCGGGTCCCCCAGGCCTCTCCCAGGGGCCGGGTCTGCACCTCCGGGGCTCAGCTGGGGCAGGCGGCGCTCCCGGGGCCCTGTCCGCCCGCCGAGGACTCACCGTCCCGCGCCGTGCGCTCCCGGGGTCGCGCTCCCTGTTCCCCGTGGGACCTCGGCCGGTGGAGCCACTCAACCCCGCAGGAGCGCTCGGGTCTCACCCACGCCAGGAAAGCCCGGGAGATGGGGCCTGCAACATCACAGGGACAGGACAGCAAGCCTGGGCAGTGCGGCCGCGCCGCGCACGCGTGGATGTACAGAACGTTTAGGGGGCGTGCACATGCGCGACCGGGCACCGGAAGCTGCCTCCCAGGGCCACCCCCTATGTCCCAGGGCAAGTCCCAGGACTACATTTCCCAAAGGTCAACGCGCCGCTCCTGAAACAGCCACTGAAATGCTTGTCCCTGACTTGACCGTTAACTGATGCTCAACTGCAAGTACTTGCCCCTCGAACTGTGAACTCAAGTGCGTCCGTACTGGAGAGTTTCCCATCCAGATGCGTGCTAGTGTTCCTGGAAAGGTGGCCGAGGAAGGTAGAAGTGGCGGGGCCCCAGCCGCCAAGTCCCAAAAGGAAGGAATGGCTTCTGGCTCACAACAGGTCCAGACATGGTGCTTGTGGAGCTTTGTTTGGGGACCAAAGCAGGAGCTGACTTTCCTTGTCCCTATCATCTAACCGACAGGCCCCTGCCAGCTTTGCACTCTGGGTCTCTCTGCACTGCAGTGCAGGCCACGCCTCCCGCTCCAAGGCCCTTTGCAGGTGAAGAGTCAGTCACCATCAGTGCTCAGGGTCCAGCGAGGGAGTCAAGGGACCACCACGCCATGGCGCAGCAAGACCACCTGACAGCACGCAAGATGGGACAGAAAAGCCAGCATGCATGGTGGAGGTAAGAAGACTGTTTTATTACATGACCCCAAGAGGTGTAGTTCACGTTCTCCGCTCACATACAGACCACGGTCCTCCTTCAAGTTCAAGGTGTCAAGGCCTGATGAAACTGACAAGGGAATCTCGGCAAAAGTCACTAACAAACATCCATTATCTCCACAAACACTCATTCTGGAATTTACAGGATTTGCTATGTAGTAGATTATATAAGCATAAGAGGTAAAGAAAAATTCTTAAAGTGGAACAAAACTCCATGTAAATAACGTGTAAAAGATACAATGGCAACACAGAACTATATAGAAGCAACGTTTTCACAACAGTGGATATGTCAAAACTATTTGTAATACATTTAACATATTGTTTCAAAAAATAGCATTTACAAAAAAGTTTACCAATACTTTTTAAATAGATGAGAAAATGTATATAACATACTGAGCGAAATATAGAATATGAACTCTGTATGAAATATGACTAAAATTGGAGTGCAGTTCACCCAAATGATGGGTTCCAGTGCTGATCCATTCCGAGGGATTTCGACTGTTGCAACCAGAGAGATGAAAAGAACTCAGTAATCAGTAAACAATCAACAGGATTGCAGCTGCTGTCTCAGGGAAGGAGATCAATTGTGCCAATTTGTTGGAGTGTCGGGCCAGAATGGAAGTGGATAGAATGCCTGTCCCACCGCACAGCCCCGGGAGTGCCCACAGCTGCCAGGAGTACTTGGCGGGGACGCTGTTGTCGAAGAGTCTGGGTTGTTCCAGACTGTCGGCCAGCAGGCCTGTCGCCTGTCTCGCAGTGGCCCTTGGTGTCTCGACTGCTGCTGTTGCTGAAGAACGTCTCCCCTGGGCTCACCGACCTGGAAGCAGGAGAGACCCAGTCAGACGTGACTCGCAGCCAGTTCAGTCCCCACGGGTGGGCTGGGAGACAGACTCCCTGGCGCCCTGGCCCTTGGTTCTGAACTCTGGTCCTCAGCCATCCTCGACCTGTCAGTGGGGATCCCTGACTCTGGGCCTGAGGTGGGCCACTCGCCAACAGGAGAGCCCATGCCCAATCCCGGACCCTAACCACTCAGCTCACGGCCCAACGTGCATCAGCGGCCAGCCCCCTGCTTCTGTGCAGCAGCTTAGCCTAGGAGGGCCCGGTCTCGCCCCCACACCCAGAGCTCTGGGTCATAGGCTTGGATCTGGAAAGACAAACGTTCCCTCAGAGACTCCTCCCTGGCCCTTCTCACTACCTCCAGATCCCAAGCCCGGGCCCTGCAGCCCTGCTCCTGGGTCCTGCTCAAGCCGCCCCAGCCTCACCCACCTCCTCACACTCCTGCAGGGTGACCCAGGCCTTCCAGCCCAGGCAGCGCATGAACTGCAGGTGCAGTTGTCGAAGAAGGGCTGTTGAGTGTAGTTCTTGCCGTAGAGGAATGCGAAGATGGCCTGCTTGGGGGCCTCGTTGTCCTCTTCCATGTCGTTGGCCAGGTAGCTGAGGAAGAAAGCCCATCTCTCGGTACAGGATGCATGGACAGTGGTAACGTGTGGACAGTGAGAACACGTGACAGTGAAGGTGCGTGGGCCATGAGAACACATGGACAGTGGGAATATGCAGATGGTGACAATGTGTGGACAGTGGCCTTGCACAGCAACAACAGCCAGAAACCAAAAATATACCATGGCACAGCAAGCTAAGCCTCCCATATGGAAACTGGTTCGTGTCCAGGATGCTCTATTTCTGACCCAGATCCTGCCTAATGCACCTGGGAAAGCAGTAGAGGATGGTCCAGGTGCTTGGAACCCTGCCACCCACTGGGAGACCCAGAAGCAGCACCTGGCTTCTGGCTTTGGAATGTCCTGCTGCAGCTTATGGGGAGTGAGTTAGCACATGGAAGCTCTCTCTGTTTTTACTTCTCTCTATGAATCCACCTTTCAAATAAAGCAAATCTTTCAAAAACAAATTATGGAGGAGGAGATTGGTGACTCAAGTCCTTGGGCACTGTGGGGAGCACAGAGCAGCACAGGCCCTGGCACTGCCATGCTGCCATGCTGTCAGGCCGGTCACCCAGGAGACAGTTGAGGTGCTGGGTGCACGTGGCAGTCAGTGCTACAGGTCATCTGTTGGCCGGGGGCAGGTGTTCAATCCTGGGCAGCACAGGCCCTGACTGAGCATTGAATGGGGAAGTGGAGTTGGGAAGAGGAGAGAGGGCGGAGCTGCCATCCAGCAGGGAGGAAATGCAAGCCAGGAAGGGTGAACACAAAAGTCTCATGGTGATTTTCCTGTAAGACTTTGGGGTGTCTGCGAACAAAGGTGGTTGCCAGTAGCAAGTGGAGGGCCAAGAGGGGCCTGAGGGCTGTGAGAGCCAACTCCCTGGCAAGGTGGACCACATCTTGAGCTGGAGCCACAGCCAGTGCCAGCAGAGGGCAGGGAGCTTGGGGCCACGTGCACACAGGTCCTGCTGTCACCTCGGCTGGGACAGTAAACAGTCTTGTTGCTCACCCAAAGGACTCAGACAGGGAAGCTCGCTGTCCGCCAGCCAGGGCTCCTCTCCCAGCTTCAACTTCACGATCACGCGTGGCTTGGAGAGGTCACTTCCTGTTTGGGAGAAGCAGGGCCCTCAGGTCAGGGCTGGGCTGCCAGGTTCCTGAGCACTTATCTGTACCCTATGCACCACCAGTGGGCATGAAGTGGCCTGCCGGCGCCCCCCAGTGGGCATTCAGGAGGGGCACTCCTCACCCATGGCCACGGGTGGCTGCAGTTCTCCAGCATCTCCTCCTGGTATGTCCTCCTCTGCACTGGCTCCAGCTGCTGCCACTCCTGCTGCATGGTGTCTCCTGAATTTAAAATGGAAAGAAAGGAGCCATGGGAAGGGTTGGTATGCCCACTAAAGCTTATTAGGTACATGGCACTTTCAAATGGCAACTGTGGTTAATAGTGGGTGCAACTCCTGATTCTGCCTTCAAGGAGCACCCCAGTAGATGGGAGATCTCGACGTCACTAATAATAGGATTACCACATTGCCCCAAAGCACCACAGCTTTAACATGTCTCAGGCTGCGTTTGAGTGGCTTTCCTACCCTCAGGTAGCTTTCTTTGCTGGGTTGCTTTGCTCCATCCTTGCTCCAGTCAGCTGAATCACTTATCCTACTTCTTTTCCTTAAAAGACTCTATGGAAAACTCATTGTCCTTTGTAACCACCGAGTTCCCCTCATGGCTAACAGACCATGACCAAGTTTCCTCCAGACAAGCAAACCTCATTGGAGTGGAGGAGACGTTGGCCTTGGAAACGTCTCACTGTGCATTTCAAGGCGCTGTGGAACACGCTCAGGGAGCCTGCCTCTCTGGTCTAGACCTTCCTTCTGCAAATGCTACTGCCTGGCTGCAAGCTGGGCACAGGCACCACTGCAGGTTGCAAGCGGGGCTGGGCGGGGCCAGGCGGGAGCGAGGGCGGGGCCAGGTAGGATCGGGGGCGTGGCCGCAGGCGGGAGCGAGGGCGGGGCTAGCAGGTAGGAGCGGGGGCGGGGCCAGGCGGGAGCGAGGGCGGGGCCAGGTAGGAGTGGGGCGTGGCCGCAGGCGGGAGCGAGGGCGGGGCTGGCTCTCAGCAGAAGGCCGCGTTGGGCGGAGCCAGGCAGGAGCGAGGGCGGGGCTGGCGCTAAACAGAAGGCCGCGTTGGGCGGGACTAGCGGGAGGGGCGTGGCCGCGGGCGGGGCGGGACCACACCTGCGCTCACTTGCTGGCGGAGGAACGGGCGCGTGCCCGCGGCGCCTCCTGCAGGAACCCCGGCCTCCTTCCTGCCGCTCCTCCTCCTCCTCAGCCGCGCTTTCCCGTTACATTTCCCGCGGGCTCGGACGTTTCTCCCCCGCCGCGGCGCAGGGAGCCGGGCCGCAGGCGCCCCACCGGCCTGCCCCTTGAGGCTCCGGCCCGGCGGGTCCACGCGGGGACTGTGGCTGCCGGGCCTGCGGCGGTGACCCGGGGGCGGCCGCGGGTGATGCCGGCGAAGGGGGACAGGTAAGGGAGGCGGCGTCCCCGGGGCGCGGCCGGCCCGCGCGGGGGGCCCCCTTGGCCTGAGGGTCCCTGTAGCTTTGGTGCAGGTCGTGCGGGTGACCGTCGTCCCCGGCTGCGTGGGCTGCAGGACCGTGACGGTGCCGGCGTCCGGGACGGCGCGCGAGCTCAAGGAGCGCATCTTGGCCGAGACGGGCTTCCCGGTGTCGGAGCAGCGGCTGTGGCGGGGCGAGCGGGAGGTGGGCCGGGGGCGGCTGGGGGGCCGGGCGGGGCCGGGTCGGAGTGTCCATGCCGGGGGGTCCATGCTGGGTTGTCCACGCAAAAGGGTCCGGGGCCGGCGTGTCCTCGCCGGAGGGGCCGGGCCAAAGTGACCATGCCGGAATGTGCACGCCTCTGGCAGCAGGGTTTATGTAGAAGGTTGATTTAAACATTGTTATGTTGCTGTATTGGGCAAATGAGAAGCAAGGGTGTGGTTACAGGCGGTTGTGAGTCTAGAGAGGAGTGAATGCAGTTGATTGGAAACGAAGGCCTGGCTGGTCTTACCAAGAGAGGCATTGCCTGTCCCGGAGAATAAGGCAGGAGGCAGGATGCGGCGTGGTCTGCTAGGTGGCTGGTGTGTGCTCCTCCCGCTGCTTCCGGCATGTGTGCGGTGATCTGGTCAGAATAATGTTTGTTCCTTGGACGGTTAATAGGAGTTTCGTCTATTGCCTAGAGCTTGGTCACCATCTTTCATTCACTGAGACAGATCTAGAATGACCCGAGAACCAGTGATGAGTTCATTGTTGCTGTTTCTTAGTTTGCTCATGGTCCTGGGAGGATTAAGGCGAGAGGGGGAAGAGCTTCCTGTCTTTGCTCTGTTTTGTTTGTTTCAGGTGTGGTGGATGGTTGGAGCCTGAGGTTTCCTGTTACTTTTTTGCCAGCTGTACTAGCTAAAATACATGTAAATCCCAAATAGATGTCTGAAGAGAAAGTAGGTTCTACCCCTAACTGCTATTGATTTTGAAAGTTAATATTGTGCCTTTCTGCTTATTTAACTCTCTGCTTTATATTCCCATAATGGTCTAATGTAAATAAAGTGGGTGATGTGGGGTGCTCTGTGAGACTGAATAAGGTAGAAAATGGGCAGTTACATAGATTGGATCCCTGAATAGCTTGTGAGAAGGCGAGTTGCAGTTACACAGCTGGTGAGCGATGCCCTGATCCTTTAGAACGCACTGGATGAATCGAAGGCCTGACCTCAAATCTCCCTTTTTGGCTCTGTCAGCTTTTCTCTGTCCTTACAGTTATTTTGGTTCTTGTCGTCGTCGCATCCTGTTCCACTCTGATCTGATGAAGACTTTGCTTGTGACCTTGCTGCAGTATCATATAAGCTCTTCTCATTTCTTGTCCATCCCCACCCTCAGTTTACTGATCTTAAGTTTCTAGGGCAGTAAAAATCTAATTCTCCTCAGAGTCAGAGCCTCATGAGTTTAATAACACACGGCCATTCTCATATTGCTGAAGTCCCAACCATTTGAAGCAGAGTTTTACTAAGTTTTCCTTCTCCTGTGTATTTGATTTGAATGGCAGCGAGAGATGACAGAGATCTCTCGTGCACGGACTCACCCTGTAATGCCTGCTGCAGCTGCCGTGGGGTGAGAACAAAGCAGGGAACTGAGAACTTGTTCTGGGTCTCTCACATGTATGGCAGGGACCTAAGGACTGCACTGTCGCCTGCTGCGTCCTGGGGTGCCCATCAGCAGGAAGCTGGACTCCTACCGGGGCAGGACTCAGTCTACCCTGAAAGGGGCTGGAGGTTGCCCAATGACATTTGAATCATGGCGCCCAAAGCCTGCTCCTGGAATGTCCTTG